TTGTTATTCCTTTTATTGAAAATAGAATGAAATAAAACCGTCGCTCGAATAAAGATAATGGTATTACTGGCATTGTTGTTGTTGTATGTGTGTGTGTGTGTATGTGTGCATATGTGGGAGTTTGTTTGTGTGTGTGTGTGTGTGTGTGGTTTATGTGACAGATCTAGTGCGAGTGCACACACAGACACATATTATATAGACATAGATATATTATATATACATATTTGTATACATATATGGCTTTATGCACACATACATGTACACAATATGAATGCATATATATATATGTGTGTGTGTGTGTGTGCATATATGAATGCATGTATATATACATTTATATATGTATGAATACATATACATATATATGTATGTATATATTTATAACTACATCTATATGTATATCAATCTAACAATCAATCTCTTTATATTATGTATATATATAAATATATACATATATATATATATAAATGATAATCATGACCTCAAAAACTTATTTTTTGGTTAACGGCATTTTCGGTAATAGTCTCACTATGGCATCCAGTCAGAATGATCACTGTCGCGACTGTTTTCATCCTCCTCCTCCTCCTCAAAAAAAAAAAAAAAAAAAAAAAAAAAAAGAAATCCATTTGCTTCAATCTTTTATTCTCTATTCTAGAAATGCATCCTTTTCATTATATGCAACTTTGGTTAAAGCAATTTCCAGTGTGTGTCCCTTGCTTTTCTCATATTTTGATTATAGCTTCAAACATGTAATTATTGCTTCTTTGTCATGTTATTTAAATAACATGTCAGACAGATAGAGACAGAGACAGACAGAGAGAGAGACAGACAGAGAGAGAGACAGAGACAGACAGAGAGAGAGACAGAGACAGACAGAGACAGAGACAGACAGAGAGGGAGGGAGGGAGAGAGACAGAGAGAGAGGGAGGGAGGGAGAGAGACAGAGATAGAGAGGGAGAGAGAGAGAGGGAAGGAGGGTGGGAGAGAGAGGAGAGGGAGGGAGAGGGAGAGAGAGAGACAGACACACAGAGAGGGAGGGAGGGAGAGAGAGAGAGAGGGAGGAAGAGAGAGAGAGAGAGGAGGGAGGGAGGGAGAGAGAAACAGAGAGAGAGGGAGGGAGAGACAGACAGAGAGGGAGGGAGGGAGAGAGACAGAGAGAGAAAGAGAGAGAGAGAAAGGGGGGGAGGGGGGGAGAAAGAGGAAGGGAGGGAGGGAGGGGGAGAGACAGACAGAGAGAGAGGGAGAGAAGGAGAGAGAGAGAGAGGGAGAGGGAAAGAGAGAGAGAGAGGGAGGGAGTGAGAGAGACAGAGAGAATGAGAGGGGGGGAGGGAGGGAGGGAGCGAGAGAGAGGGAGAGAGAGAGAGAGGGAAAAAGAGAGAGAGAGGGAGGGAGAGAGAGAGAGACAGAGAGAGAGGGAGAGAGAGAGAGAGGGAGAAAGAGAGAGAAAGAGAGAGAGAGAGGGAGGGAGAGAGGGAGTGAGAGAGAGAGATAGAGGGAGGGAGGGAGGGAGGGAGAGAGAGAGGGAGAGGAGGATGAAAACAGTCGCGACAGTGATAATTCTGACTGGATGCCATATTGAGACTATTGCCGAAAATGCCGTTGACCAAAAAATACATTTTTGAGGTCATGATTATCATTTAAGTGTTATTTATGGATTTTCCGGTAGACGGAAAGTGCCTTTACACATATCTTGGTGACACCATTATTTTCAAATGGCTTTAACTCGAAATCAGTAGGTTATATTGAAATGCAGAAAAGACAATTTTGCTCAACATCTAAAGCTCTACATTTCAAAGAGACCACTTTGATAATTGACTTAATTAGTGCTAATTAGATGCTAATTAGGACCACTTCCGATCAATATTTGTGATGGCCCATCTTGGATACTTATTCTTTGACCTCGACTGCATAGGTTTCATGCGAAAATCCATAGGTTACCTCCTTTGCCAGATTGTCTGAAGAAAAGCCCTGCCTACCATGTGTATATATGTGTGTGTATGTGTGTGTGTGCGTATATATATATATATATATATATATATATATATATATATATGAATATATATAGATACATATATATCAGTATATATATACATACATATATATAAATACATGTGTATATATATATATATATATATATATATATATATATATATATATATGTTTGTGTGTGTGTGTGTATATATGGATGCATGTGCGTATATGTATATACATATATAGGCATACAAACATACATATACACACAGACATACACACAAATATAAATGTGTATATATATATACAGGACTGCCCCGATGGACTCCGATCCGCGGCAATCGTAAAAATGCCTGAGCTCTGACGGCTGGATCGAGTCCGATCTCATGGTGAGAAAACGACATATCGCCTTGAGAAATCTAACGCAGGTGTCGTAAAGCATACCGCCGCCGTGGCACAAGTGTTAGCGCACCGAACTGCGGATGATTAGGAAGGGCATCCAGTCATTCAAGAAAGGTACTGCCAAATAACCTCTTAATGCTGAACTGGGAGAGGCCTATATCCTGCAGTGAAATAAATGGATGTTGAAAAAAAAACATACGTATACAAATATACATGCATATATATATATATATATATATATATATATATATATATATATCCGTGCATATATACATATATATATATATATTCACATATACATGTACATATGTATGTATATATATATGTATATACATATATATGTATATACATATATATATATATACATATATATATAAATATATATATATATACATACACACACACACACACACACATATATATATATATATATATATATATATGTGTGTGTGTGTGTGTGTGTGTCTGTGTGTATATATGTATATATATATATATACATGAACCATGTTGACAATGCTGTATATATGCATATGTATACATGTTTATGCAGTATCTCTCTCTCTATATATATATGTGTCCATAAACACACACACACACACACACATACACCTATATATATATGTGTGTGTGTGTGTGTATGTGTGTATAGTTATATATATATATATATATATTATATATTACAAGTTTCATTCTGTTCCAAACGTTATCGTAACGATGTATATTCCGCTAATGCACATCTTTATTTATTTATTTATTATTATTATTATTTTACATAAACTTAACTGATGTGTACGACAAACAAAGAAGGCTAATGTTTCATTTCTTTGTTCAGAATTCATGGACGATACACATGAACTGTTTTTAATGGACAAGAAAAAAATAGAGGTTTACAGAAAGATTGACGTCCATATTGGTGTAAAACCGATATGGACGTATAATCCAATATATGTTGATTATTTTCATCTAAATCGTCATACAAGCAACAGCTAGCAATAAAAAAAATCCTGCGTTTAAATCGCACAGCAAACTAGCTCCATTCACGTGAATGATAAAAGATAAGAGGCCCAAGAGCAGTTGCTTGGGCCTCAGGTGGAGATATACTTGAAGAAGTGACGTAATTTAACCAAAGTTCGAGCAAGTGGTTCATTATAACAAATCCATTATTCTCCTTTTTCGTGGCCGCTGCAACTGGAAGATTTTGAAAATATCGGCATCAGAAGAAATTATTGAGCTAACCACGATGATGATAATGACAAGCAAACCAATATGTAAGGGAACTACATCTATTTTTTTTTTCTTTTTCAATTATATAGCTAAAAAAAAAAAAAGATCTCTTTAGTTCATGTATGAACACTATATATATATATATATATATATATATATATATATATATATATATATATATATGTATACTTATACACAATTATATATATTCATATATATATATGTATATATTTATATATTCATATATATATGTATATGTGTGTGTGTGTGTTTGTATATATATGCATATATATATATATTCATTTATTTATTTGTATATATATGTACATATATATATACATATACATATATATACATATATATATATATATATATATATACATATGTATGTATATATACACATGTATATGTATATATATATGCATATGTATACATATATATGTATATATATGAATATATATGCACACTCACACATACATACGTATATATATGTATATATGTATATATATAAATATATATACAAAATATATATATATATATATAGACATAAATATGTATATATATATAGATAGATATATGTATAAACGTAAGTATATATAAATACATACATATATATATATATAAATATATATATATATATATATATATATATATATATATGAGTTTACATATATACACACACGCATATATATATGTATATACACATACACACATATATAAATATCTATATACATACAAAAACACATATATATACATATATATAAACACACGCCCGCACACTCATACATACGCACATACATATGTATGTATTATATATATATTAATATTTTTACCTTCAGACAGACATATATGTGTATGTTTGTATGTGTGTGCATAAAATGACTGACCGGTATAAAGTCTAGTGGGATATGTAGGGTTGTTCGGGGCAAAACGAGTCAGTGGGGTAAAATGGGTCATTATCAAAAAAGACCTAAGGTATTGTGGGATACGATAGCACAAATGCTACCATGCATGCTACCTATCACCATGGTAGCATGCGTGCTTTCCTATCCTTAGGTCGTTTTTATCGGTCTTTTTTGATAAAGACCCATTTTACCCCCACTGACTCGTTTTGCCCCGAACTACCCCATCTATAAATGTTCATATATCTATGCATATATACATATATAGATATAGATATATACAAATATATAAGTATGTATATAGATAGCAGAAATGACTGACCCCTAGAAAATTTAGCGAGGCAAAATCAAAGAAACATTATATCTGAAAAATTACTATTTTGAATACGTCCAGATTGTACTTGTCTTATCACAGAGACAGGAAAAAAGTAAAGCGGTTTGATAAACATTGAGACATCTGGACCTTGACCCTTGCGTTCTGTATAAAAGCCTGCACAACTGCTCATCGTCACCGACAACATGAAGGTCCTTTTAGTGCTCGCTTTTCTCGCGATTGCGGCTGCCTGGCCGAGCCTCGGATTCCAGGCGGACGGTGCAGGTTAGTCTTATATATATTTGGACATAACTCAGCATAACATTTAACTTTGTACATCTCTTTTCACATTCTTCTTTTCACTCTCTCTTTCTCTTTCCCTCTCTCTCTTTCGCTCACTCACACAGTTTCCACTCCTAACACGCTCCTTTCCTTCATTTTTTTCTTTCTTTCTTTCTTTCTGTCTCCATCTCGGTGTTTTTCCTTTTCTTCATTTTCTTTTTCTTCTTATTTATCGCCTTTCATTTCTCTCTTCTGTCTATATTCTCTAAACCTTATCACCTGAAGTATTTCCATATTTTTTCATAATGTTTAGTAGCACTTTTAAGCAAAATGTCCCACTTTGTACAGAAAGCTATACAAGAACACAATTCATACTAAAGCGCATCAGGCATGAATGGGTGAATTATTGTAGCTCTTTTCTTCTAGATGTGTCAGATGCCCAGAAACAGCATGATATCAACTTCCTGCTGCACAAGATCTACGGGGAAATCCGTGATCCCAACCTAAAAGGAAAAGCTGATTCCTTTGACCCGGAGGCTGATTTATCCCATTACAGTGACAATGGTGAGGCGGTACAGAAACTCATGAGAGATCTCAAGGATCACAGACTTCTCGAACAGAACCACTGGTTCTCTCTCTTCAACCCAAGACAGCGTCATGAAGCACTTATGCTCTTCGATGTTTTCATTCACTGCAAGGATTGGGATACATTTGTCAGCAATGCTGCCTACTTCCGTCAGCGTATGAACGAGGGAGAGTTTGTCTACGCCTTGTATGTTGCAGTCATCCACTCACCTCTGTCTGAACACGTTGTACTTCCACCACTCTATGAGGTCACTCCTCATCTCTTCACTAACAGTGAAGTTATTGAAGCAGCTTATCGTGCCAAGCAGACACAGACCCCTGGAAAATTCCAGTCTTCCTTTACTGGAACAAAGAAGAACCCTGAACAAAGAGTAGCCTATTTCGGAGAGGACATTGGAATGAACACTCACCACGTTACATGGCATATGGAATTCCCATTCTGGTGGCAAGATGAATACAGCCATCATCTAGATCGCAAAGGAGAGAACTTCTTCTGGGTACATCATCAACTAACTGTTCGCTTTGATGCTGAACGTCTTTCCAATTACTTGGATCCAGTCGGCGAACTTCACTGGGGTAAACCCATCGTACAAGGTTTTGCTCCTCACACCACTTACAAGTATGGAGGTCAGTTCCCCTCTCGTCCAGATAATGTAGACTTCGAGGATGTGGACGGTGTTGCCCGAATTCGAGACCTGCTCATTGTTGAGAGCCGAATTCGTGATGCTATTGCCCATGGTTATATTGTTGACAAGCAAGGCAATCGCATTGACATCATGAATGAGCGTGGCATTGACGTTCTTGGAGACATCATTGAATCCTCAATGTATAGTCCTAATGTCCAGTACTATGGGGCTTTGCATAATACTGCGCATATTGTACTCGGTCGACAGGCCGATCCACATGGAAAATACGCCCTGCCACCTGGTGTACTAGAACATTTCGAAACTGCCACACGCGATCCCAGTTTCTTCAGGCTACACAAATATATGGATAATATCTTCAAAGAACATAAGGATTCTCTTCCCCCTTACTCAAAGGAAGAATTAACTTTCACAGGTGTTACTATTGAAAATCTATCAGTTGATGGTGAATTAGAGACCTTCTTTGAGGACTTTGAGTATAGTCTTATTAATGCTGTTGATGACACTGAAGAAATTGCGGATGTAGAAATCTCTACGTACGTTCCTCGTCTTAACCACAAAGATTTCGCATACAACATTGAAATTACAAACAATAATGGCAAGGAAGTTCTAACAACAGTCCGCATTTTCGCCTGGCCTCACCGTGACAACAATGGCATTGAATACACTTTCGACGAGGGTCGTTGGAATGCTATTGAACTAGACAAGTTTTGGGTTAAGTGTGAGTATTTTCTAGCAATGTTTTAGATTATTTATGTTTTAGAATTTTTCCCATTTTTATATAGAATATGTAGAATCGGCTTTATAGACGAAGAAATAATCATATGTGTGTTTTACTAATGTATATTTATTTTTCTAGTGTCTCCCGGCTCAAACCACATTGTCCGTAAGTCATCAGAATCAGCAGTAACTGTTCCTGATGTACCAAGTTTCGATACTCTCTTCAAGAAGACCGAAGCTGCCTTGGGTGGCGCAGATTCCGGACTTACAGAATTCGAGAGTGCGACTGGCATCCCTAACCGTTTCCTCCTCCCTAAGGGTAACGAACAGGGTCTGGAGTTCGACCTTGTCGTTGCTGTGACGGATGGTGAAGCTGACGCAGCTGTAGAGGGACTACACGATAATAATGGCTTCAACCACTACGGTTCCCATGGCAAATACCCTGATAATCGCCCACATGGCTACCCTCTGGATCGTAAAGTTCCAGATGACCGCGTGTTTGAAGAGCTTCCCAACTTCAAGCACATTCATGTAAAGGTCTTCAATCATGGTGAACATATCCATCACCATTAACTAATAGAAATCGATAAGACTTGAACAAATACCATATGTTTTATCTTCCTCAAAGGATATGCATTTTCAATAAAATAGATTTAATTCAAAAGGAAA